GACAGTGGGCTGTTGCCTCCGGATGGGGCGGCACCTACGACGGCAGCCCACTCCCCGACTGGCTCCAGTGCGTCGATGTCCAGATCATGGACCAGGGCGAGTGCAGCCGCACTTGGTCTCTCCACGACAACATGATCTGCATCAACACCAACGGCGGAAAGTCCACCTGCGGAGGAGACTCCGGCGGCCCCCTGGTTACCCATGACGGCAACCGCCTGGTGGGAGTTACTTCCTTCGGTTCTGCTGCTGGTTGCCAGTCTGGTGCCCCAGCTGTCTTCAGCCGTGTCACCGGCTACTTGGACTGGATCCGCGACAACACCGGCATCTCCTACTAAGAGGAAACTCATCCTTATTCCTAAATTTTCATTGGGTTACTTCAATAAACGATTTTACAGCAAAAACAACTGTTGAACTGTCATACAACGAATCTCAGTAGAACAGATTTAAAGGCAAGGATAAAGAGAGGGAGAGAGAGAAAGAGAGGTGGCGCTCTCTATTGGGGTAGATGCCAGACAGCCATAAAGCAACTATATAAGGAGGGCTCATCGGAAAAAATTAGGCAAACGTGCGAGTGAAAGGGCTCTCGCTGTAAGTGTGAGGGCAACGACAATGGAGTGTGCTGATTAATCATTTGAAAGCAATGTGAAAAAAAGCATAATAATTGTTTCATAATTTAATTTTTAATAGTTTGCTACATGATAGTAGTCTGTGTTTAGAAAAAATAAACAGCCCCTTTACTCGCACTTTTCACTCTCACGAATTTCTTAGTTTTGCCGACGAGACCTCCTTATAGTTTCTTCATGATTTCTTCATGATGCCAGACAGCTAACTGCCACTGATACTGTTTGAGAGAGAGTGAGAAAGAGAGAGCTCGCGAGCCAGGAGAGTCGACTAACGGCAATTGATTTCTTCATTCTGGCAATAACAAGACATAGTTGGAAGATTGTAGATTAGATAATTCTTTATGATTCTTCTATTTTGGATGGCTTATCGACTAGTTTATTTCTACTGGCTAGGAACATTCATTCTCTTTCCTTCCTTTTTTTAAATATGTAAAATGTACATTTTACTTCTGTACGTTTGAACATATTATGTACCTTTGTATGAATTTCATAGATACCTTTCCTTACCGGGTACATCCCCCGGTGGGACAAATTTGCGGCCTGAGAGTGTGAAATTGGCAGCGGAGAAAATTGAACTCTAAAGCTGGAGAAAGCGGCTGGAAGACGACCATTACGTGTGTACATACATATGTACAAGTTGTAGTGTGAGTCACTGTTGAGTGGCGCAGCTGTTAAAGTGCGGTGGTGAGATTGGAAACCATACTAAGCTAACGGGAGTCCGAGCGTCACTTTATTCCAGTTTACAAGCTACGGCCGCTCGAGAGCCTTATGGATCGTGAGAGCGAGCGCGAGCACAATCTCACAGCGCTGCCGGAGAGCGTTAACAGCATTAAACACGGCTCTTGTACAGGCTGTTGCGTGCAGCGGAGACAGGCTGTTACGCTGGGCTGTTAACAGTGGCCGCCCCCCTACCGCTGCTAGTCTGAACCAATTTCGAAGAACTTATGACCTAAGACGATTTCATTTTGTATAGTACTATTGCACCAACAACTGCCCAGCGACAACAAGGAAAAGCTTAGATCACGCGCATCTCATATAAAGGGCAGCCAACCTTCCTCCCAAACGACAGGGACGCTACCGCATGATGGGTGAAGCGCTAAGCCGATGCGAATACATACAACTGTAATAATTGAAAATATTCTTCTTTTCCAAATCCATGGTAGAAATTTGTATTCAAAAAGTGTTTTCAACGTAGTGAAAAATTAAAAGTTTTGGGGGTGCTGTGAGCCTCAAAAAAAAGTGACCGAAGTCACCCTGCCACATTCTACGCAATCATAGTACCAGAAAATCTCTACCCATCTTATCAATGGAATAATAATTCTATCTACATAACGGAAGAAACAGTGGCATGTTTACAAACTTTTCCTTCATCGAGATCGTTCCAATGGTAGCCATATACCATAATTATCTATACATCCCCTATGTCATCTATTTATAAATGTGTATAATAAAACAGATTACCAGATATCTTACAGACGAAGGGATTTCAATATCAGAATATATGATCATAGAGAGGCTTACGTTACACGCCGTACAATGGCCGAGTGAGTGCTAGCCATAATTTCAATAAAATATCCACTTAAAGAATCCTTATCAGCCGCACAAGACTTTCATGAATGAAATCTTTTGCAAAATTTATTGCCACTGAATGCTACTTTCCAGTAAGCTCTTGTCGATGTGTAGAAGAGCCAGATAAGGCGACTGCTCGACGGTATAAAAGCGTCGCAAAGAGTAGGAAAGGTATGAGTTTCAGAGCTTAGTCAAGATGAAACTGTTCGTATTCCTGGCATTGGCTGTGGCCGCAGCTAGCGCTGTCCCCACTCCCCAGCAGAAGCACACCCCTGTCCCTGTCAAGGACATTGAGGGCCGTATCACCAACGGCTACAATGCCTACGAGGGCAAGGTCCCCTACATCGTTGGTCTGCTCTTTAGCGGCAACGGCAACTGGTGGTGCGGTGGCTCCATCATTGGAAACTCCTGGGTCCTGACCGCTGCTCACTGCACGAACGGAGCCGAGTCCGTGACCATCAACTACGGTGCCAGCTTCCGCACCCAGCCCCAGTACACCCACTGGGTGCACCGCAACGACATCATCCAGCACCACCACTACAACAGTGGCAAGGCTCCAGTGCGTCGATGTCCAGATCATGGACCAGGGCGAGTGCAGCCGCACTTGGTCTCTCCACGACAACATGATCTGCATCAACACCAACGGCGGAAAGTCCACCTGCGGAGGAGACTCCGGCGGCCCCCTGGTTACCCATGACGGCAACCGCCTGGTGGGAGTTACTTCCTTCGGTTCTGCCGCTGGTTGCCAGTCTGGTGCCCCAGCTGTCTTCAGCCGTGTCACCGGCTACTTGGACTGGATCCGCGACAACACCGGCATCTCCTACTAAAAGTTCAATTATTTTCCTATTTTTGGATTTCGTCAATAAAAGCATATGAAAAATAATAGTTTCTGTTTTTTAATCTACTTGAGGTCTACAATATAGAGAGGTTCTGGGTAGATACAAATTTGACAGGCAGATCTGACCTCTTAAACTGAATACATTCTTGCCTAGCAAAACAATGTTTTTTAGGCATTTTTATACCCGGTACTCGAAGAGTAAATAGGGTATATTGTATTTGTGCACAAATTATGTAACACACAGAAGGAAACGTTTCCGACCCCATAAAGTCTATATATTCTTGATCAGGATCAATAGCCGAGTCGATTGAGCCATGTCTATCTGTCCGTCCGTCTGTCCGTCCGTCCGTCCGTCTTGTTGAGCGCCTGGATCTGTGAGACCATAAAAGCTAGAGCCACAAAATTTTGCATCCAGACTTCTGTATGCTCACACTGTTACAAGTGTATTTCAAAAATGAGCCACGCCCCTTTCCGCCCCCGCAAAACCGCGAAAACCTCACAAATCTACAAGAAACCCAAATCTATAAAATAAAACTAAAAACGCCATTCTGTAGGGAATGACCATATCTATCAGATCACCAAATTGGGATCCGATTGGATCATTATTATAGCCAGGATGAAGAAATTAATTTCCAGTGGCTAAACCCACCCTGTCCAGCAGCTTTTGTTGTTCTTTTCACATTCTCTCATTCACACTATGCTTCTGCTTCACTCGGCCCCTGCCTCTGCCGACTTTTTTTTTTGTGTTTTTTTTTGTGCGGGCGCTGCCTCTGCCGCGAGTCTGCAGTGTTTGGGTCTAGAGAAGGGCGGCGAGCTAACGGAGCGTGTTGGCGTGAGAAGTGTTGTAGATGTAGATGACAGATGAAGAAAATATGTAAAATTTGACAAAAAACCGCTAAGGTGCAGATGTAGTACTGAGTGCCGGGTATAAAAGTTGTGACGCGTAAGAAGCGTCTCACACATCCCATCTCGTTTTACTTAGCAACTGTGTCTCAGTTAGAAAGGATATGTATGTACATAGGTGCCAAGAAAAGTAAAAAAACTTAAAATTTAAAATTGTTCTTTGCATGTTGATAGATTATCCTTTCAGGATAGTTATATTTAATTCAGCTGTGCGGCTATTCTAAGTTGTCAAGTTTTCGGTTCTTTGTTTTAAACGGAACAAATTTATATATTCTCTGTTTTCGTGAACTTTGCCAAAGGTGGTACCAGGGTAGATATTTACTGATTGTCGAACTGAAAGGGAATATGAAATTAATCTTTTCTGCTTACTCTTACAAGTCAAATTTAATGGAAGACAACAAAGCCTAATCAAACACTCAAATCACTATTTCTCCAAATCAAATCAGAATCTAATCTATTTTATTGTAGTGCCTACCACAGGAGCATGCCGCCGAGTCATGAATTCATTATCTAAGTCAGTAATTTTTTCATTGTTAAACACACCGGCTAAGGGCTCATAAATTAATTACTATCTGACACTGGTACTGGTACCGTAGAGAGGAAATGTGTACGAAAGTACATATTTGGAACTGTTGGAAATTTCGCGCATTTCATTCAGTCAATTCATTCACTTGAAATGCGAGTCTACTACTCAGTTTACTACTCTAGTCACTCACATTCAATCAGTTATAAGTAGATAGTATTCCGCATACTTATGAACTTTCTTGTCCAAGTGCATTATACGTAACATATGGCGACTGACTTTTCGTTCTCTTTGTGGTTGTGTCTAGTGAAAGTATAACCTTCTGCCTCTCTTGTGTCTTTTCCTTTGACAGGAAAATATGGGTACAAGTGCACTTGAGCAGTTGAAGGAGTTCTTTCGGAGGGGGGCAATGTATCATTGAGTGTCGCAAAACATTTCAAGATTGAGAGCTTTGCATACACATAAACAAATAAATGTTAAGTAAATGCGAAGCTAATCAGAAATGGTTTACAATTTATTATTGCATTTATTCTTTATCTTGTGTACAAATTAATCTAATCAAATAATCTGTGCGGTCACAAATACATATTTTATAGCCTACCTCTGAGTTAGTTAGTTCCGCAGCTTAAGCTATAAATATCCACACTAATTAATTCGAACTCGATGCATCGCAATCCGTGGCTGTGACTCTAATTTGGAAATTCTTTGAGCTCCAAGCAGAGGAATGTGCGCGGAGTGCAATGCACTCGGCTTAACAACTTAAGCACGTACGGCCACAGCGCCACAACCACGGCGCCCCCTCTTTCAACTCTACCTTTCCAAACACACATTTCAAAGAGCGCTCGCTCCTTTGGAGCATTTATATTACTTTTCTGAAGTCAGGAATGGCAATTTATTTGCCCGCATTGACATACAAACACGCGCACAATACGCACAGAAGTAGGCAAC